CGTGCCACCATTTGCTAGAGCTCAGTCACAATGGTAATCTGATAGGCGAACACCTCAAGCAGTAAGAGCTGTACAGCCACTTGGAGTGCCGCCGGAATTTCCTTTCTGTACGTGGTTACAAAGCGTGGAACGTTTTACCGGATGCTGTCATTTGTGCTCCAACGCTGGTGGAGTTCAAATTTCGGGTAGACCGCGCACTGCTTTTGCCGCACCATGTCAAATAACATCCCATTCTTAAACAACAGCTTCTGCCGATCCTCACAGAATACGTTCCTTGTATTCCCACTGCTGTAAATGTTCTCCATGATAAGCCTCATGCTGAGGTTGATGTTGCTTACACGATGCTAGTTCACCGTAGTTAGGCCAAACCGGCTTACACGTAAACCAGAACTATTTCATCTGGATGACTCATGCCACTTTATTTGGTTTCTTTACTCCTGTTCCTTTGCTGCTACTTCTGTGTCAATTCTGCGTATTTGCTTTCCCTCAATTTCTATGTTAGTTGTTTGATATCCCCGGCGTGTCTACGCTTTATGTGAGTGTCGACAAGGTACCTACTTGTCTGAAACCTTTCACCTAAAGTGATGGTTTCAGGAGACTGTGAATTGTTGCTGAGGGAAAGGATGCACGGTCCTCGTGGCCGCGCTAGGTCCAAAGAGTGGTTTCACCTAGTGTGGAGCGGACTAAGGCCCAACCACCGTCTTGTGCACGTCTGGTACGCATGATTCCCTACACGGATAGACAGGAATGCTGCTGCTGTGTATGCTGAAGGAGTGTGGACCAATCCATCGTGTAGGCTCCCTTAATGGTAACGGTAAGCTGCTACTTCATTTGTGTGAAGCTACTCGCTTATTTCTTTCAAGCACAAATTTCCGACATAGCACCCACCGGAAGGTGACTTGGCGCCTACCAGCCTCAAAGCAGCTATGGGCGCAAGTTGATCACATTGCGATAAGTTACCGATGGAGAAGCTGCGTCCAGAATTCTCTCTCGATTTGAAGCACATGTGTGGACACTGACCACAAACTTATATGTGCTGACTTGCGGAAGCGTTTTGGCGGACGCGCACGAAGACACTGTGAGAGCATTGACACTGGCAGACTGGTGAAGCCAGCTGTTCTGAATGCCTATCAAAGTACGCTGCTATGCGAGTTAAGTTAGCTCTCATTGGATACAACTGAAACTCACCGGTCTTATGTTTACCAGACCTTACTAGCAGCAGGCAAATCTTCATGTGATAAATCTAACCGCTAACATGGACACTGGACCACTTCGCAGTCTCTGGAACTCATCGATGCTAGCCTGCACATTCCGCTTGGGAGCGAACACAATGAAAAGCACAGAAACCACCGGGCAAAAACACCAGAATCCTTGTGGTCTCTTCGCGCATCAGAGATGGAAGGGGCCGCTGCCATTGGTAACCTTCAGAAGCCGTTCCATCTGCTACGGGAAACGGACAGCAGGAGACCCGGCGATAGCGAAACTACACGTGACGAGAGTAGACAGTCTACCTACAACTTGTCAATATGCTTGGGGTGTTGGGCTAAACACTTTGAAAGGCAATTTACTCGGTCGGAATTGTTAGACTTCTCGTCGGGCACTGATCGCTCTGCTTCCTGGGCGGTCCCTTTGGATCCACCCTCTCGCTCAGAAATCAAACGTGAGATCGGACTGTTGAAGATAAATAAAGCCGCGGGACCAGATGATCATCCTCCAGCCCACTTCAAATTCGGGGAACTGCTCTTGTGGACGATTTATACGTTACTAGTGAAACGATGGGAGCAGGAAACTGGCCCAACCGACTGGAGTCGCACCGACATAGTCCCAATTTTCAAGAAAGGCTCACGATCGGAATGCGTAAACCATAACGGAATCAGTCTAATATTCAGCGCTTTTAAATCGTTTGCATCTGTAATCTTTCACAGACTAACTGGCACTGGTGAAAGCCAGATTCGGGAAAGGCAAACCGGGATTCGTCGGTGTCGTGGCTTCATTGACCACATCTTCACCTTGCTTCAGTTGTTATAGCACCGTCACATGTACTCGCGGCCCACCGTTGTCGTCTTCCTCGAAATCAAAGGTGTATCCGATTAAGTGGATAGAGGTTTCCTGTGGTCAGCCTAGTCAGGAAACCAATGCCCGAGAAATAGCTAAATAATATCTGAGCATTATACGCGTAGCTCAGGCAGAGTGAGGGCTTACTGCAAGCTGTCATCGTGCTTCAATATCTCCAGCAGTATGTGAGAAGGATGCCCACTGTCACCTTTCCTCTTCAACTTCGTTATTGACGAAGTCATGGAAATCGCGTTCACAGTACACAACTTAGAAGATGTGGATCTGCTCCCAGGAGAATTACTTCTTGACTTGGAGTACGCTGACGATATTGCCCTAATCTGTGAAGCTCACAAACGTGCCAAGCGACACTGGACAGATTAACTCTGGTTGTCCGTCATTTTGGGCTTTGCTTCGCATTCTCGAATGGCAACGTGTTCCTCCAAGATTGGCCTGGACCACCTCCTTCGCTGACCTTTGGTGGGGAGCAGCTAGAAGTCGTTCAAAAATTCAACTACCTGGGAAGTTGTCTCGGCGCCCGTGGGATTGAAGATGAGATAATAAACCGTATAGCAAAATTTTGAGGCCCTGTTGCTTACGTTCGCTACTTAAGACGTCGACGCGACCACACACTCCTCCTGAACTTTAGGGTGTACAGTGCATCGGTACGTTCGACCCTATTGTACTGCTGTGAAACCTGGTCCCTTAGAGCAACGGACATAAAGAGGCTAGTTACGTTCGACCACCGGTGTCTTAGCAGTCTAGCACACATTTGGTGGGAACAGCGAGTAAGCAACGAAAATGCTCGACGCCATGTTTACGGCACAGGAAAACGAAAGGAACCGCTCAGTACAGTTATTTCACGCACCAGGCTCCGATGGCTCGGACACGTATTACGCATGCCAGCCCACCAACTCCCGCGACGCGCGTTGTTTGCGTGCCGAGGGTGTGGATGGAAGAAGAAGAGGGGTGGCCAAGCGATGACTTGGTAGAGAGGAATGAAGGTCATCACTTCTGAGCTGGCCTCAGTTGGAGCGTCTGGGCTTCCTGGTTTGGGTCCGAAAGACGATGAACACGTTTGACTGGATACACTTGCTGACATGGCTACGAGCCGACCTCAGTGACGTTCGTGCTGTGAGTTTCTTTGTCCCACCCCATCCCACTTATCCTCCCCCTGCAACCACATTCTCACTATTTAACCTTATATAATTTTGCATGGTATTTTTTGCTGCATAGTAGCCGGCTGGTAGCTTACGGGAACGATGCCCATCCGTTACCGGTAACAGCTGGATTGTATCTGTTACATTTTTTCCGTTCATTTCTTTTATTTATTGCGGCACAATAGCTGCGGTGCTTCCCACCTCCATATAACGTGTATAATAATTATGATGGGCCGCTTCATTGCTAAAACATGGCTCCCATGAAAACGCCTCCTGTCTGATTCCTTCTGTTTTACGCTGGATATGGGGTGTGTGGTTGGAGATGTGGGTGGTGCTGCGCTAGCCACCCATGCTCCCTCACTAGAAGCAGGCGTCCTGTAGCTATCCTAAGAAGACCGTATGGACAGTCAAACCGGGAACCGGATGTGGTCAATCATGTTTTCACCAGAAGAAGACACAATGTTCGCTAACACCCCATTTTCATTATTCCTTATGGACTTACAGTTGATTTAGATTTTATACTACGGATACCGCGGGGAGTCCACCAGTGTGAACGTAATTTTACTGGCAACTTTTTATATTTTTAATTTGTACCGTGACCATCCTACGGGACGTCTAAGCTTTAGTCTTTTTACCCGTATAAAGCAATTGTTCCATTGTTATTGTAGAGCAGTGGTTCTTAAGTTGGGGGGTAATTACCCCCAAGGGAGTAAAATGGAATTTTAAGGGAGGTAAATTGAAATACGAGGATTGGGTCGTCAATCTGTCGCCAAACAAACTTGTTAAAAGTATCTGTATCAAAACATGTAACGAACTGCCTAATCGATATTGATTAGCCGTCAATGACAAATTATTAGTATGGGGGCTGTGAATTAGATAACATCCGGTAATAAATTTCATCACCTAAAATGCGAATACCAGCCTGCAAAGCAGGGCGGCTAGAGGGCACCTCTATCGGCTCTCTCTTCGTTCTTTTGAATCAGGTATTCGCTGGCAGATCGAAGTAAAGAATAGAGTGAACGTAAGTGGGGGCATAAGTCCTCCGATCAGGTAAAGGAGCGAGCGAATGTTGGCAATGTAGAATGGACAAAACATGCGATTAGTGTTCAGAATGTGTGGATACGGAGTGGCGGTGCAAACCTGTCATTCAAGACGGACTTATAAGAGATGGTTGAAACAAATGAGAAGCTGCTGACAACTGTTCATGTCTGAATAAGGATCAGACAACAAAGCAAGGAACCGCATTAGGTGAAACCGCACCAACTCTACCAGAAGTCGCCAGAAGCAAGTAATAACAACCATCGTATTAACGTGCTTCACTTCTTGAATATTAAAAATGCCTATAATGGAGGTTTCCTTGGGTTGTATGGTCGAAAGTCCTTAGACTACTATTTGTTCGTAATTTAAAGCAAAACGTGCAGTGGTTAATAGTTAATTAGCTCATTTAAACGACAAGTTTTGTGTGGTATTTGTTCATAATGAACCCGCTTTATGGACACCAGCCCCAAAATGCTTGGGTACCACTGCAATAAAAACCCGGTAAGAGCAATACTAACGACATGATGATAACCACAGAGCACTGTGACTACCTGCCTGCATGGCAAAACGATTGGCGCCATGAATTTATTCGCAGCAAATGTATCGCTGATACAGATACCTGTTAACTGTTACTTGCTTGCTTACAAAGCCTCATCCTTGGACCGCTTTTTATCTGTTTGCAAACAAACAAAATATGTCTCACATGAATTAATAGTGGGAGGCACTGCTACATGTTTACGTTCAACTCACGTGGTCCTGAAGTAAGCGCCCAAAACGGATCCTCGGCGAACATCGATCGGCTGCTGAGGTAGGGGATTTCCATTCTCCAAGCCCGGATCCAGGCAGCTAGTCTGGAGATTGCCTAAGATGTCCACAGGTTTCACCAAGGGCCCCTCCTCCTCCAGGTTCTGCCGTGTAACCGTATGATGACAAGGAGTTTCAGACATAAGTAATTTGTCTCCACGTTTTTCATATCGGACGCGGTCAAGCGGATAACAAAAGCTTCGCTTCTCCCGATCTTCAATAAGCTTTTTATTGATGTCTCTAAGATGAATTAATTTGTCTTCATTAGTTTTGGGAGGAACACAATGACATAAAGCGGAACTTTTAAAAGATTGTCCCCAAAAGTTTGGTTTCATGGCGCTAACCATTCCGAAGGTATAAACAAGCACCCATACATTACAACAGAAAAGATGTTTACTCTCGACGCTTTCGCTGCACTCGGAAAGATTTGCCACCTTCCGACATGCGTAATGAGTCCATTTAAACCGGTGCAATGTGATCAAGACTAAATGCACCGAATTAAAATTTTTCGGTTATTCAAGCAGTCAGAACTGTAATAAACGCTGGATACTGAGCGCTGTGATAAGTTTCAGATGTTCAGTGACTAATGTAGTCTTCTAGGTAAAATTTCTAAAGCGCTTACTGCTTACACAGCAGTAAGCAAACCGGATTGATTCAAGATTCAAACTGAGCATCGTAGACTACCGCTTTCCGCCACTGTTATAATCTAATACAAATGTAATAAAGTGAATGCTAGAAAATACGAGTTACCTCAAGGCGTCCATTTGTCTGACTAAGTTCTCTCTCTCCAATGCGATATTCTCTGACATTTCAATTGCTGCCTTGGCTCTATTTTTCTTGTCTTCTTTTGCTCGTTTCCTTAGCGTTTCTATGTATTCTTTGCACTCATTCAGTATACTTCTGTCCTTCGTTAGGCGCTTTTTCAGTTCGTCATTTTCTTGGGCAAGCTGTTCCTTCTCCTTCACTGCTGATACTCGAGCAGCATTGAACTCATCCAGCTGAACGCGGGCCTGTGAATTCAATAACAAGCATTCGATGTGCAAGTGCAACTATAGTACTTCCTTAGATGATAAGCCCAAGGAATAGTCAAACTAAACTCTCCAACAAAAGTATAAAACCAAGCAGCCTGGTTTTCCTCCAACCTATTTAATGGGCTAACGTATGCTGATCCGTTTGTAACTCAATCAAACTCTAGTTTGAAAAATAAAACCGAAGCATAAGGGAGCAGAAAGCCGATTTGTCAGTTGTTAAACAGGTTCTATCTAATTGCCTTCGCTTTATCCAGCGGCTTTAGTTCATTTAACTGTATCAGGTTCCGTGGCAGTTGTTTGTAATCTGAAGAGTATTTTCCGTGCTCAGTGACCTTTAAACAAAGTGGTTCCCCACACTTCCTGGCGCCGTCAAATTTACAAGTTTCTCCTAAAATTTCAGGACATGGTCCATCCGTAGTAAACGGCTGTTGATGGAAAAATCAAATGGAAACCACTCAATGCGCACTGATCATACCCGCGTCATCTGCGATGCAGCTTGGCACGAATTGTATTATACTTTACGTATCATGTTGTCGACTCTGGCTGACGTAGTGAATTGGCGCAGAGAGTAGTCGTTGTACTCACATATCAACTCTGAACCGCCTCTAATCGCCTCACATTGGATCGACAAATTAATGAGCCCGCAGACAGAATAGAAAGGCAAACGCTTAACGAGAGTAGATGGGTTTACGGGAAAATAGCTTAAGGTCAATGCGACTGAGGGCGCTGTGCTTCCACAATCGATCACGTGGTGCATTGCCTTGTGTCCTGAACTCCGCAATACGCTAAGAAGCCCACTAACACCAAATGCGTTGCCGAGGTTAAAGTTCTTGGTTTCACTTCGTGTGAAAAATGACACCTGTCTTCATACGGCTTTCCACAATTAGGTTAACCTGTGCTCAAGTAATTTCTACTTATTGCGACGAACTGGTGACTGGCTGACAGTCTAGATGTGATGCATTTCTACCTATATGATTTTTACTTGCCGAAAATTTAACGGTACGTGTAAGTTGTGCGAGATTTTCGGTTGTGAAACCATTGTAACCTAGTCTGCTGGAAAAACGTTCTTGCACTGCATGATAGTGTGGAAAATGCCAGCTATGACCACCGGTGGACGTGCGGCCCCAAAAACAACATGAACCGAACTTGATAAAACTATATCCAAATCGATACAGACAAGCAATTGGGTTCCATTTCTAACCGACGAAATCTCGCGCTAAGCGCGATACGCATGTAGTTGCGATGTCCAAGTATGTGCGATCACACTTTCTGCAGGCATAAAATATTCTCAAAACCAACCACGGTTTTATTTGTCCTGCTATTGCGAGAAAATTTAAATCCCCGTGTCCTTCACATTTCGATATTCCAGATCTATTTGTCTCCGCTATCCCCGGGACGTTCAGCATTTATAGCAGCTCTATACTAGAAGCTTTCTCCTCACAGCTTCCACACAACACACGGGGAAACTTGGTGTGTCAACCATCCTGACATGGGGAAGCCTTTATTTCACATTACTGTCTCCGTATTCCGTAGGTTGAAGAGGGGGAACCAGAAGACATACATTTGTGATGCCCCACTGATATAACAGCGGGTACGTACTCGGAATAACACCATCTATTAGGATGCACCGTCAACGCAGTTCGGCTGCGCAACGTCCTATTCAGATGTCTAGAAATTTCTCGACTTTTAGCACTGATTTCGCCTAGACTATTTTCGCGAGCAAACGAGCCCACTACTTCACCACTTCACGCTGAATGAAAATAGGGTGAGCTCTAGTTTCTATACTGTTGTGTTACGCCGCCCGAGAATCATAAACGAAGACTGGGTTGCGACCAGAATCTATCTGACCAGGTAACAAACGATTCATAGGCTATGTTCCGCTTCGTTGAGCGATTCCGACTAGAGCTCTCCTGATTGGCTGCCTATGGTAGAAAGCATATTCCTTGGTTGTGCGGACTTGCAATTCCGTTCTCGCTCACTCGTGTAAACGTTGCTGCTCGACTGGCGGCGATCGATCAGCATTCTCGTTCAGCTCGCCAGTTCGAAAGTCAACCAAACTGACCCATGTGGTACCCTATCATCACTTGGTTTCATCCGTGTTCGCGTGTGCCAATTGGTGCACGCACCCAGATATACTATCCAGGCACCGCGTTCTGCGGTCCACTCGAAACCGGACCGGGCTGTGACCATTCACAGCACGCTCACTCACTCCACTTTTGGGATGCGCGAACCCACAAAACCAACACCAGGGTTATGCGTGAGCGCGAAAAAAGATTCGGAGCAGGCCCGCAATTAAGCAACGTTCGCATACGTCACTCAGTTGTAGATGAGGCGGTGCGAAAGTACGAAGAGATTGTGATGAGGAATAAGTTTTCACAAGTGAATTATATAGAGGGCAGACACACTTGCTCTGTGGTCATCTTTAGCTGGGAAACGCGATATCTACCAGTTGGTCTCGGATATGAAAATTGGAGAATCATACGCAATAGAAATTACAGCCCGATGGGCCGGTTATATCCGGTTCTGTAGTGGAATCACTCTTTGAGTCCGCCATGACCTAAAATGCTGTCTACCTCACTGAAATCAACAGCAGAAGCACTGACATGCACTTTTATCGCTGTTCGAGTTCCAACTGTGTAGAGCTGATACATTCAGTTGGTCGTCTTGCTCCGGGTTTGGATTCTCAGAGAACCATCTACCCGGTGGATAATCCAAAAGCGTAGCAACGTCTTGATTGTGAAATGCGATTAGACCATACGAGAGCAATGGTTGAGAAGCCTCTGACCAAGTGAATTTAACTCACAAGCAATTGCGGCATACAAATCAAAATAAATTGTGGGTCGCATCAACGGTGCACCATCACAGTATGACTGCAATACGAAACTTTCCCATCTTGCTGAGTAAAGAATGCCCAGGAAGCATCGAAACACGCCTGGATTTCATGGCGAACGATCAGTAGTACCATGCAACCTGCACAAGAGCGTGTCTGTGGTCAGTGACCGTAGGACAGATGAACGGCATGCCTAGCTATGGAGCACACATCAGTAATCCATTCACAAGCACTATAGCACTAACTAACGCTAACCGAACAATTTAAAACGTAGAGTATCAGTTTCATCATGCAGTGCTCACCGTTGTAAAAGCTGTCATTAAGCGCAGTGGCGTTCCTATCTTGGTGTTGATGTGCCTACCGAGGCAAGCTACCGCTGTGGAACAAAACACACTCCGTCCTTTATACATCTTGGCTTGAGATTCGAGTTTTGTTTCGACATAGTGACGGATGTAATCGGCATAAATGAATGTGAATGAAACACTCAGCACATAAGGCATTGTTATTCAGAACGTCCGTGATGTATGTAGCTATTGAACAAAATTGGTATCTGCCAATCGCAAAGGCACGCACAGCTCCACTACTTGAATATACGCCAACCGGTCTGTGATAACGATCATTAAGTCGTCATTCAAGTCAAATTGGGCTCTATGCACCCGGGTAGATGCATTTTCAGCATAGTGAAGTTTATAAACTTACTGTCGTGTGATGTTTTCGACTCCCTCTTGTCAGGAAATTTGGTGAATGCGCATGCTTGGCTATAATCGCTTTCACATCCTCAATCGGCTGTGACTGCGAACATCCCCATGGTGCCAACAACTACTGGGGGACAATAAGTGGCTTGCTTTGCACACCTAAGTGGAGTGAAATTCTGATGACATATGTCTAAAGACACGCGAACGATAGTCATTATGATTTGTTCCACAGACCATGATAAAAACAAAGATTGTCATGTTGCTTATACGCAAACCGTGCACCAAGTGTGCACACACAGAGGCTTGAATCTCTGCATTTAGTTGATCAGGTTGACGGTGCTCAGGTGGTTGGTTGGAATATGGTATACACAAACAATATCAAGAATAGGAGAAAATGCCATTGGTCTAGGAATCAAGGCAGATCTAGTTCCATAAACCATATGATAATGTACCTCTACATTAGTGGAGCTGTTCGCATCAAAAAAACCGACAGTAAGCTCATCTAGGCATGCAACCTAAATGCGACCAGGTGAGTAAATTGTACTCTCGATGGTGATTGACCGTGGGCGGCACTCGAGCTTAGCTTCCTAATAACCACTTATGCTGTTAAAAACGATGAAGTATGGAAACCTCAAAGTAGCTAGCCCATCGCAACATGGGAGCAACTGCATGTTTCATTTTATGGGCGGTTGAGTGAATCTGTGCCTCGACTTGCAAACGATTCTGATAGCTGCCATGTGAAGCACGGGAGATGACTCATTCTTCATGTGGGTGGTGGGGCGTGTTGGGTGCCTAGTGTTCATAGTTTAGGGTGTCGGAGTAAATTAGTCAAACTAGTGACAAATTCGATGCCGGGAAATTGCGTTGCGTTACCAAGTTGCATTGCTTTTCTCAGCTCCTACGAGAGGGAGTTCATCGCAACGAGTTACCTGACGGTCCGTTGCCGTCACCCATGACTCCGCGGCATATGTCACCGATTTGCGGGAGTAAGGTCATGGCGTCGAATGCGGCAGGACTCGGTGGGCAAGCACTACTGACGAACCCCAATAGGACGAAACGGCCGTCTAGCGCTTTCCTGGATGTGTGGTGGTTGTCTGTCTGAGTCTAACTGCGACAAATCTTCAAAAAAATACCCACCAAAACTTACTACTTACAAAAACCTGGCTTCTGTAAATACACTAAATTGTGAGCAGTGAACTCAGACTAATTTCATGTCGTGGAACACTACGAGGTATCCAGAGGACAAGCAATCCAGCTAGTCATGTTCGAATCGAAACTAGAGAAACGAAGTACTGACCTGAAGTGTTTCTAGTTTCCTAAACTTATTGCTTTTTCCAGCCAAAACTCCCCACTAAATAATGCGCGCGCTTTTAACGCCGTCGTATTGATGATATGAGTAGTGGACCTGGTGGTGTATGCTCGTTCCTTTCCATTCCCTGTTAAATACCACACGG